TCTCATCTTTCCAGTGGAACACTTGGTTTTCCAAGTTGAGGCCAGGTTCATGCATTTCCTGTCATATCTTGCATTTTGCATCCCGCATCGCATTCCGCATAGCATATCATCATTTCATCATATTGCTTGGTCTTGCACGTGGTTGATTGTATCCTTGTTGCTTGTTTGTCTTGTTTGGGTAGAGCCGGGAGATGAGTTCGCTAACGAGGAGCCCATTGAATTTGCTTTCGAGGATCCAGTCAACTCTGACAACTGTGCAGGCAAGATGATCATACCCTCGAAATCACTACTATCTTTGCTATGCTAGTTTGCTCGCTCTTTTGCTATGCCATTGCTACGATGCCTAACACTTGTTTGCAAGCCTCCCAAATTGCCATGTCAAATCTCTAACCCACCATTGTCCTAGCAAACCGTTGATTGGCTATGTTACCGCTTTGCTCAGCCCCTCTTATAGCGTTGCTAGTTGCAGGTGAAGATTGGAGCCCGTTCCTTGTTGGAACATTTATTTACTTGTTGGGATATCATTATATTATCTTGCTATCTTAATGCATCTATATACTTGGTAAAGGGTGGAAGGCTCGGCCTCTCGCCTAGTGTTTTTTTCCACTCTTGCCGTCCTAGTTTCCGTCATATCGGTGTTATGTTCCCGGATTTTGCGTTCCTTACGCGGTTGGGTTATAATGGGAACCCGTTGATAGTTCACCTTGATTAAAGCTTTTCCAGCAATGCCCAACCTTGGTTTTACCATTTGCCACCTAGCCTCTTCTTCCCTTAGGTTTCCGGAGCCCGAGGGTCATCTTAATTTTACCCCCCCCCGGGCCAGTGCTCCTCTGAGTGTTGGTCCGAACCGAGTAGACTGCGGGGCCACCTCGGGGCAACTTGAGGGTTGGTTTTACTCGTAGGATATCTCATCTGAGTGTGCCCTGAGAAAGAGATATGTGCAGCTCCTATCGGGATTTGTCGGCACATTCGGGCGGTGTTGCTGGTCTTGTTTTAACTTGTTGAAGTGTCTTGAATTACCGAGATACCGAGTCTGATCGGAACGTCTTGGGAGGAGGTCTATTCCTTCGTTGACCGTGAGAGCTTGTCATGGGCTAAGTTGGGACTCCCCTGCAGGGATTTGAACTTTCTGGGCAGATGGGAATTTGTTAATGTCTGGTTGTAGATAACTTGAACCTTAATTTAATTAAAATGAATCAACTGAGTGTGTTACCGTGATGGCCTCTTCTCGGCGGAGTCTGGGAAGCGGACACGGTGTTGGAGTAATGTTTGTGCAGATTGCTCTCTAGTTTCTCGCTTGCGCTTTGCCTCCTCTTCTCGCTCTCTTTTGCGAATAAGTTAGCCACCATACTTGCTAGTCACTTGCTGCAGCTCCACTCATATTTACCTTGCCTTACCTATAAGTTTAAATAGTTTTGATCGCGAGGGTACGAGATTGCTGAGTCCCTGTGGCTCACAGATTACTATTACACCAGATGCAGGGCCTAATGTTTCCGCTCCAGGAGACGCGTATGAGCTCAAGTGGGAGTTCGACGAAGACTCTCAACGTTACTATGTTTCCTTTCCCAATGATCTGTAGTGGTGCCCAGTTGGGGGTGATTGGGACCGTTGTCGCATGTTTGGTTCTCTTTTATTTTGGCGCCGTAGTCGGGCCATGAGTGTTTGGATGATGTAATGTTTTTTATGTACTTGATTGACGTGGCGAGTGTAAGCCAACTATGTTATCTCCCCTTTCATTATTATATTACATGGGATGTTGTGAAGATTGCCTAACTTGCGACATATGCCTTCAATGCGATTATGTCTCTAAGTCGTGCCTCGACACGTGGGAGCTATAGTCGCATCGAGGGTGTTACAATAAGCATCCTTAAAAGTAATAAATTCTTCTATTTTCACCACATCATAGTAATCATATATACCTAGCATAAGAAGTCAAGGTTTCATTATCATTAAACTCAGATTGCAAGGGAAGGTGTTGAATCTCCATTATAGAGCAAAAAGTAAAATCATACATAGAGCACGAATTATAAGCATATGAATGTAACATTTTTATTTAATCCCATATGTGTTTCCCTTTTTTTATCAAGCGGTAATCACTAAAGTATTCACATTGATTCAAAGTATATCCCATTACCATATTTTACAGGGATTTCTTAGGATTATCTAAGTAATATTTAATGTTCCACACATAAGCAGCATCGAGGATTTTAGGAGTTTCCCCATCTCCACGAGTAGCAAGTACAACTATTCTTTTGGTGTTTCATGTTCCGTATCCATAACTAAAGATAGAGAACAACTTAGAACAAAAAATAAAATCTACTTAGAGATAAAGACAACAACCACACACGAGATATTCATCCCACGCTATTACTCACTGGCAATAGCGGCAGAAAAGGTGTCGACAACCCATAAGTGTAGGGGCTCATTTGTAGCCTTTTCGATAAGTAAGAGTATCAAATCCAATGAGGAGCTAAAAGTAGAATTAATATTCTCTCAAGTTCTATCGACCGCCGATACAACTCTACGCACACTAAACATTTGCCTTACTTAGAAACAAGAAATAAAATACTTTGCAAGTGTAAAGGAATAGATTTGCAAGATAATACAGAACGTGTAAACAAATTAGGTATTGCTTAAATAAAAGAGCAACATAGCGAGTGCGGAAAAGTCATGGTAGAATGTGCGAAATTGTCCTAGGCAATTAGCTAAGTCACTAGACCGATGACAAATTTTTATTTGGCGGAGGCCTCTGCTAGCATGTGGTCCCTTAATTGGAATCCTATGCGCTTATAATTAGAACTATGAGCAAGCATATGCAGCTCCTAACGTATTCATTAAGGTAAAATCTAACCATAGCATTAATATGTATTGATCCCCTTCAATCTCGTATGTATCAATTTCTTCCTCTTCCTCTTCTTCTTCTTCTTCTTCTTCTTCTTCTTCTTCTTCTTCTTCTTCCTCCTCCTCCTCCTCCTCCTCCTCCTCCTTGGCCTCTCCCCTAGATGGGGAGAGGATTCCCTATCTGGTCCTTGGCCGCCATGGCTCCCGGATGGCGGGAGCCCCTCCGAGATTTTATCTCCCCTCTCCTTTTTCTTTGCATTTTCCTCTCTGTTTCGGTACTATTTTCTAGCCATACAACATTTTTTAAATAGCTGGAGATCTGTAACTCCGATATGGCTGGAATTTTAACGGAATTTTTCTCCGAGAATTAGCTTTGTTGCGGCGAAAGAAGAGCTCCAACCGCTTTAAAGGTTGGCCACAAGCCCACATGGCATGGGTGGGCCCCAGGTCGCGCCCCTGCCCTTGTGGAGCCCTAGGGCACCGTTTCGCGTTGATTCCTTTGCCCAAAATTCTGGCAATTCCAATAAAATTCACAAAAAATTAGGTCATTCTGGCTCCGTGATCTTTTCACCTAAAACCCCCAAATCAATAGAAAACAGGAAGTGGCTTTTTTTACGAGAAAACTTACAATCTCTTCATCAACTGTCAAGGTAGTACAAAGAGGACTAGAAGCAAAAAAAATTACATCCAAGTCCGTAGACCACTTAGCGACGACTACAAGCACTGGAGCAGCCGAAGGCATGCCGCCATCATCGCCCCTCCCTCGTCGGAGCCAGGCAAACATTATTGTACGAGACAGCCGGGAAGTCATTATGCTAAGGCCCCATAGGACCAGCACACCAGAACAACAACCGTCACTGATGAAGAGAAGCACATACTAGAAGGATCCAAACTACAGACACAGAGACGTAGACGAATGAAGACCGGGTCCAGTCGGATCCACCGAAGACGAACACCAACCGGATCCCACGAGATCAGACGGAGACAAATCTGCACACACCTTCCAATAACGCTTAAAACATAACCATGACGAGGGCTAGACGGGGAGGACCTTATTCCATCTTCAAGAAACAGGAACCGGCCTTTGGCACTAGGTAAATAGGTTTGTTGGGTACATGATGAGATTTTGACACTAGGTAAATAGGTTTGTCACGTACATGATGAGATTTTGTACACATGCTTTTCTTCTCTAAAATTTCACGTACAGCTCTCCATTATGGATGAAAGAAAATCTAATCATTTGGTCAATTCAATCTAAAAAAACATTAGTATCCTATTGTATTGATTTCACCGGCTATATATCTTTGTTTTGCTCTCCTTCAACCTCCCCAGAGTGGTTTCTGGTCAATTAACGACATCAGTAGACCACTGCTTCATTAGGTAGGATAAACATACCTGCTCTTGTAGAGCTGACCTGCAATTATAGAAGTGCTCACCCATCAAGTAGCCAACCGTTTCCTTTTTCCTTTATTGGGTTCTACCAGTGATAAAGATGACAGGAGCATGACAAGGCATTGCTTTCGCAAGCAGGGGACGTCAAGGCAGCTTTGGTCAAACCAGTGCCATCTAGTAGCACCTCTCAACTGCTACAGTACAGACGATCTAGTCACAGCCGCAGCTTTGATCGAAATGACACGCCACGAATCATGTTCCTGGATTCCACTGATTCGGCAACGAATTTTCAATGGCGCTATGATTGCTTTTTCCTTGAGAGCTCTTATGTCAACACTCCAGGGCACATGTCTATATAATTTGCACATTTCCTCAATTTTTTTACTACTCAAATGGCGGGTGAGATGTCTTGCTTTGTGTGGTTTACGATATCCTTATATGTTTGAATTGGGCAAAGTCTGCGGTGCCAAGTCACATTCTCAAGTTTGTAAACAAAAAATGTCGTTTTCTGAAACTGTCATGCAATTCTTGCCACGGCAGTCATCCGTAGCCCTCGTCAGCGACCAGAAGAACGGAGAAATTTCCATCTCGAAGATAGGAGATGTATATGACCGGTCACCACGACGCGTCCTAGCACAGCCAGCACTATCTATGCATGCGTAGCGCACGAGCTCTACAGCCATACGGGGGACGGCAAAACATTCTTCTCTTGCCTCAGCACATCTTGTTTATTCGGAATCCCTTGAACAGCTGCGACTGCAAACACCATGAGAGTAAGAAGTTCTTGGAGTCCAGTTTATGTTGGTGATGCGTCTGTCTGTTTATCTGTATGTAACTAACACGTCTGAACCGCCGGTGCAAATCTTTCAGAAGGAGATCATCATCCGGATGCAGCCGGGCTCGGACAAATACCACAAGAGAGCTCTCAAGGTGGCCGCCGCCGTCAGCGGTAAGTACGAGCCCCGCGGCTGATCGATTCTTCCTTCCTCTGCATCCGGTGAATTAAACTGGGTGGGTTCCAATTCAGGAGTGGTGTCGATCACGGTGGCCGGCAGGGACAGGGATCTGCTGGTGGTCATCGGCGACGGCGTGGACGAGAGCCATCTGACCAAGAAGCTAAAGAAGGAGGTCGGGGAGGCCGAGATAGTGCAGCTGCGGACGCTACCCGAAGGCACCTCGGCGTCGGGGTATCTGCCGGGCACGTCCAGGGACGTCGTCGGCGGACACTCCCGGTCGCCGTACCACTTGCATCCCACGGACACTCCCGGCCGCGTCACCTACCCGGTCTACGCGCCGTCGCCGGCGGCCAATCCCGGGGCTGCACGGTGGTCGGGAGACCACAGGCAAGCCGAAGCGGGGTACTATCCCAGCGCGTCCAGCCCGTCCTTCTACCACGCGTCGCCCGCGGCCGGGTACGGCGGGTACGGGGGCAGCAGCTATGCAAGCGCGGTGGCGCGCAGCCACCCGGCGAACTACTCCCCGATGATCGAGCGGCACCGGCACGACGACGGGAGCTGGCGTCGGCACCACGGCGGGGGAAAGCCAAGCTGCTGCTCGATACAGTAGCAGTTGTTTCCATCGTGGTGCCAATGTTTGCCGTTTCAAGTACTGTATTTCAAGTGAACCAACCTTGTGGCACTACGATGGAAACATTGGCACTACATTGTGGTGTTCTTTCGTTCATTCGTGCTTCTTCCTTGAATTTGAATTTAGTGCACAAAGTTAGTCAGCGGCTTGTACACCTGAACGAATTTTAAGATAAAGGTGTCATTTTTTTGTGAAAACATTTTTTTCAAGAAAATTTCTAATCTATTCATCTCCAATTATGGATGTACAACGAAAACCAAAAATAATAAAAATTACATCCAGATCCGTAAACCACCTAGCGACAACTAAAGCGAGCCGAAGACGCACCGCCGTCATCACCCTTCCTCACCGGAGTCGGACAAAACTTGTTGTGGTATACAGTTGGGAGGTCATCGTGCTAAGACCCCATAGAACCAACGCATCAAATAAGCAATCTCCACTGATGAAGAGGAGCAAAGATCTAAAGGATCCAACCTAAAGACACACAAACATAGACAAACGACGAACAGATCTAAGCAAATCCACCAAAGACAAATCCGTCGGAGACACACCTCCACATGCCCATTGACGATGCCAGATCCACCATGGGGACAGGGGCTAGGCGGGGAGAACCTTATCCATCTTCAGGGAGCCGCCACCGTCTCGCCTTCCTGAATAGGACACAAACCTTAACAAATCTCGAAGACACATCTAAAAACGGAGTCCTCCCACTGGCAACAGCCGGGATCCACCATGCACCCATGGCTCTAACGCCACTGAAGACGAGGTGGACCGGCGGCGGCATCGGTGGGACGCAGAGGAACCCTAGTTTTTTGGGGAGGAGGTTCATGCCTGAGGAGCATGCCTTGTGAAAACAAATTTGAGCCAGGAGAAGTAGAGAAAACCAATCTGTGCTTGGATTGTTATAAGGATAGTGGTATCCTAGTCAATCAGGGATCAAACATCAGGTTGCCACTTTGATGTCTTATAAAGATTCAGTGGGAGGCGATGTTTTCATTGGTAGTAGTAATGCTTCCCCACTAGTGGCTAAGTGGTGCGGTGAACAAATTACAGTTGGACAGCTATTAAATTGCAATATTTATATTTGTAACTATGAGCATTCATGGTATAATTTCATAGGCATTATGTCTGTGATAAGTAGATTGTTAATCCAACTGCATCTATTATTAACGTTCCACTCAATGACCGCGATTCAACATGCATCCCAAAATATTAAGTTTACAAGAAACAAAGCATTGCAATAAGTATGATGGCATAATGTAGATAGCAAAACATCAAGCAATATGACGAGACACCGTTGTTTATCCTTGTAGCAACAATACAATACATATCTTGACCCTAATTCTCACTGGATTAGAGCATCGCAAGATTGAACCCATTACGAAGCATCACTCACTCTAAAGGAAAACCCGTCTGGCCAAAAAAGATAGATAGATCAGAGAACATGCAAAGCTGTTTAATTATAAAAGCAAGAAAACCTGAAAAGATTTAGCTCTATTCAATGAACAATCTAATCATAAAGTGGCAATTCAACATATCCCAACAAACACACTACTGATTACATCGAATTGATCCCGATCATGTGAGGTAGCTTATGGGAACATGATACTGAAGATCCAAGAGAGAGAGAGAGAGAGAGAGAGAGAGAGAGAGAGAGAGAGAGATCTAGCTACTAATATGGACCATAAGGTCCTAAGGGAGCTACTCACACATGGCCGGCAACAAGGTTGGTGAAAAATCCTTCGGCAATGAATTTTCCCTCCGGTAGAGCTCCGAAACGGACCTCCGGACTGGATCTCCTCGGAACAGAAGCTTGCGGAGGCAGAAAAATTTGAATAAAACTATCTCGGAGGGTTTCTTAGTTGTACGATTTTACGGCGGTGGAATGGAGAAAGACGGTAAGTGTGCGCCCATACAGCTAGGGGGCACCAGGTGTCCATGTGGGCCCCCTCGCCTCTTCTCATTGCCTCAAGATGCTTTCTAGAACCTTCGTGCTCCGAACAAAATCGTATTAAATTGGCACGGTATTTTGACCTCCGTAGATATAGATTTTTTCTACAAAATCAAAAACATGCAGAAAACAACTAATGACACTATGCACTAAATTGATAAGTTAGTCTATAAAATAATATAAAATGCTATGAAAAGTATTCAAAAGTCATAATATAATAGAATGAAACAACAAAAAATTATATATATACATTTGAGACGTACTCCCTCCGTTCCAAATTACTTGACTCATATTTATCTAGGCACGTTGTATCTAGACACTAAATGTCAGGACCGGATTTTCGGGATATAAATTTCCCAGAAAATGGCCCTTGTGCTCACCAGCCCCAGGATTACTGTTAGCTGATGAGGCACCAAATTGATACAGAAATTCCAAGTAAAGTACATAATATGTAGTACAAGACCATTCTGGCCTATGGGTACAACAATTTGTTTCTAGTGGTTGATGGCGGAAGCAGTTTGCGGATCATCAGCGTCTATGGGACTCCATTTCCCATAGGAACAGCTGATCGGGATAACTCCTATCTTCGCGAGGCTGCTATCACCATTGCGTAGGTTCCGGGGCTGTCATCACAATGCTCCTCTCCACGCAAGAAATCTTGCCAAGACAATAGCCAGGGACAAGCCAGTGAGTATTTTGAATGTACTCGCAAACATTAAGAACACAAGTATAATATAGCCACTGATAATCATGTTTAGAAATATTTATGATCACTTCGTCAGTTATGAAATAAGGTTCATGATGCACGCAAGAAGATCATTCAAATAAAACATGAGTAAACAATCAGGGGGTAGAAATGGAAAGCACCGATCGGGTGTCTGAAGCGACTCCTCGAAAGGATAATAATATGAAGCATGCCTCAGTCGGGCGTCTGAGCGACACCACATAAAGGGCTTATATATAAAAGGAATAACAAGCATGCCACAGTCGGGCGTCTGTGCGACACCACATAAAGGGCTTATAAGTAAATGAAATAACAAGCATGCCACAGTCAGGCGTCTGAGCGACACCACATAAAGGGCTTATAAGTAAATGATATAACAAGCATGCCACAGTCGGGCGTCTGAGCGAGACCACATAAAGGGCTTATATAAAAATAATCACAGTGAATATCCAGGAGGTAGAATCATCCCAGGGATACTCATTGATTCAAATAATACAAATGATTAGACCACAATAATAATAATTATAATCATCACATGTCACAGATCATAATTAATGTTCTGGTTTAGTAGTTTTTCCTCCGAAGGCCGACACTAAGACCGACACTTGACCCATCCCAGACTGTAGTCCTTAACCATGGACACGGCTATTCGAATAGATATAATATCTCTGCAGAGGGTGTACTCTTTACCCACGAGTAACGGATTCCTTTAGTCCATCGGAACGAATTCCGTCTATGGTCTTTTAGTCGAAAACACGCCTGACTCGCACACACCAGCTTAACTTTACTCATGTCTGGAATCACCCATGACACCCGTTAAGAAAAACTCTAAGTGGGGAGGCTACAACCTCGATTAGCATGGGATCAAATTTCTTCGCGCGCTTAAGGGGTGCCCCCCTCTCGGTCCCAACCGGAAACACCCATGCCCCAGGACCAAGTGGCATGCCTACCGGCTGCAGTCGGTATCTTCCACTATGGCCTCTCTGTACGGTGTGTGCTAGAAAGGGGTTGACAACTTACTGAACCGTACCCTACCTACGGCAGGGACAAGTGGTAGCACGAAACAAGTATGGGGGTTACTGGAATAAGACTCGATCTACGGCCGACTCAGGAGGTTTAAGTATTTCCTGCATGGTTAGCTCAAGAATTATATTTCACATCCATCAGAACGAACCACCGCTCATCATACCTCCCCATGCCCCACCGGTCATAACTGTCTCGACGAGGGACAGCTCGTGTGTACCCAAGACAGAGACTTTCCTGGATCCTTCCCGGTAGGCATGGGAGGCATATGAGGGGGATTTCTATCACAAACATATCAAATGCCAACAACATGAAGTCATCAATATGCACTATGATTATGATCGTATCATCGCATAGCATAACGAAATCTCCGAGACAAGATGGGGTTGAAACCGTATCAACAACGCAAGACAATATCATGCCAGGGTTCACAATGCTTGCCTTCAAGTTGTGGAGAGGCAGGGTGCATTCCAAAACTTTTGAAAGTTTTCTTCTCCCTCTCCAAAATCCTATTTTAAATAAATTTGAATTAACACATACTTTAAAAACAGCACAAAAAAGTTGTTTGGAAAATTTTGAAATAAATATGAAAATAAACTAGACAATATTTGGGAAACAACAGAAAAAGAATCAAGTCATTTGGATTTATATTTAAAAAGATATAGCCAGTAAAAGTTTCAGTCAAACTCTGTTTTTTTAAATAAAACAGAAAAGAAAATGTTTCGATGAGAATACGCTTTCGAAGTAGGGGAGACGTACTTTAGGATTTTGCGCTTCCACTTAAAACCATGCGGGCGGGGCTGGGTCGCTGATACTGGGTCCAGCGGGCCCACTGGTCAGGTTTGGCCAATCGTTCCCCACCTCCTTCCTCCTCTGTCCGAGCCGAGGCGGGGCTCCGACGATCAACGCCGGCGAACAGCGGCTTCCCGCGGGCTCCGGAGGGTAGGGATGGATCCGCCAGACCGGGGCGGTCCTCCCGGTGGTTGTTGGGTTGGTGGGGGTGGAGGGAGTCGCCGGCGGCGAGCTCCATGGCGGACGACAGCTTCGGGTGGATTGGGGCTTTGGGCTACGGTGGTTCCCCGTCGCAGCTGAGGGCTTGGGCGGCTCCGTAAGATCGAGGGGAAGAGGACGGTGGCTCTGGAGGGGTGGGGGAGGGTCTGGTTGCGACGAACGGCACCGGAAGGCGGCGGCGGCCGAACCGGCCGGAGTCGAGGGAGACGGCTACCAAACGACGATTGCTGGCTGTGGGGGTGGTATGGGGGTGGCCCGAGGTCGCCTGAG